TTTGCACTTTTCGACATTAACTTTTAGACCGGCCTCATTTAATAAAGAAAACACCTGTCTTAAATCCTGTACATGTTGGTCTAGATTATCACTAGTAATAATGATATCGTCTAAATAGATAAATGTGGACTTTCCAAGAACAGGTCTTAACACAATGTCCATGCATCGCTGAAATGTTGCTGGGGCCCCTGAAAGGCCAAACGGCATACGCAAAAAATGCATAAGTGCCAGACTTGGTTATAAAAGCAGTCTTAGGCACGTCCTCAGGCCTCACCCCTATTTGAAAATAACCAGTCGTTAAGTCTAAAGTCGTCATAAATTTGGTTGATTTTATGTTCCTTAAAATTTCTTCTATGATCGGTAACGGATATACCGGATATTTCGTTATGGAATTTAATTTACGGTAATCAATAGCGAATCTCCATCCTTTTTGGATGCTCCAAAGGATAGTCATTATTTTTCTTACATAAAACCACCGGGCTAGCATAACTACTTGAGATGGGCGTTATGATTTTTTTTACGTAGCATATCGGTAATATGCCATTCTATAATTTTTTCCTTATTCTTATCATACCGGTATGGTTTTTGACGAACTGGCAATGCATCTCCGGTGTCAATACTATGGTTAGTAACCTGAGTAAATCCTGGAATATCACTAAATAACGAAGCAAATTCACTTACCACTTGTCGGATTCTATCTTGCTCGTCATTAGGCAGGTGGTCAAGATTTACCATCGGCGGTTCAGCCTTTTCAGTACGAACTGGTCTCATTGTCAGCTTAAGGGACGCTTCATTAAAATCCAGTGTTGCTTGTCCGTCTGAAAGAAAATCTATCCCTAAGATTAAATGTGCTTGCAGATTCTTTACTATAAAAAACATCACCTTTATTTGTTCGTCCTTGATACGGATATACAAAGGTACTTTACCTATACACTTACATTTTTCTCCTTGCGCCGCTAACACTGTCGTATTATCCGCATTATATATGCGGTATTTGCGAAAATACTTCCTAAAAAACTGTTCTGCCACACAGGAACACTGCGCGCCGGTATCCAGGAGTGCGGTGGCTGGGATATTATTCACCAAGACTTCAATCTTCAGAAGAGTCAAATTTTTCACCATTACTGTATTTAACTTGTAGGAAGAGGGGTTTTCGTGGCCTTCGGATTTCCGCACCCTCTCGTCAGCAGAAATCCGTTTTAGTTTAAATTATTTTTCCTTTCCGTGCTTTCCTTCTTTTTCCCCTGGCCTTGAGACTTTTTTCCTGGGTTGCTATTCAACTGTCGACGTTCGCCGGCTGTTTTTGAATGCTCGGATTTCCTTGCCCACTTATTTGCTTTTTCTCCGTAGCCGTGTGCTTGAGTTTGCTGTAGTCTTGGCGTACCAAATTGGTTTCGCTGTTGATATTGGCGTCTTCTTTCGACGTCCGCCGTTCTTCTACTTTCAAACTGGATTGCTAGCTCAAATAACTTTTCCAGTGTAGTCGGATTTCTTAATTCAATAAAGTCTTGCACTTGGGGCAGTAACCTCGGCAAAATCACTTGAATTATTTCAGGATCCGGACGGTTTCCATACAAGAGCTTGAAAACGTGAATTTTCTTAAAATAAAGCTCGAGAGGTTTTCGATTCTTTGTTGATATATACTAAAAAGTTCCGTTTCTAATTTCGCACGATCCCTTACAACAGGGAAGGCTTTTAGTAGGGCAGTCTTGAAATTTTCGTAAGTATAGGTGGGACTTCCTGCTTGACCCAAGAGACTTCTGCCTATACATTTGAACCAGTTAAGCGCTTGGCCCCTCAAAGCGCTGGTAGCTAAGGTAACTTTTTGAAACTCGTGCACGGGGTAGAGCATGAAGTGGTCATCCAATTTTTCCAAAAAACTGGTTACCGGTGAGTTTCCGTTAAACGTTGCTTCTGGTTTCATCGAAGCGCGCATGGTCTGGACGATGTAACCGAATCCTTCCAGGGCGGCAGCTGGCATTTCTGGATTCTGAGCCGTTTCTGCAGGCAGCACAGGTTCTTCTTGAAACTCGGCCATGGTTATTCTTCTTCGTTGGGCGCCACTATCAGGTTCAATGTTCCTTGTAACCTTCTTCGGGAACATACAAGGACCTGACTAGGAACAGAGATCTTACTAAAGCTATGTTCACTAATTTGTAGTAAGTAGACAGGATACAGACGAAGGGTATACAAAAACCCTTTATTTTTCTCTATATACAATAACTTCCGTACTTCGGAATACAATGACCCGCCACTCGGGGTCTAACGTAAAAGTATAAAAATAAAATAAACTCTAATTTAACTCTAGAATAATACACGTGGAAGATTGGCCTTATAATAACAGGAAGCGTATGTAGCACAGAGACTGTGAACACTACAATACGTTTAAAATTATCAAGAGGATTAAAACCTCTGGCCTGGAAGGCAAACAGCAACTGCGTAACTTCTAAGGTAAGCGGCCTGCGTTGACTAACTGCTTCCTCTCTCTCGCTTGGCAAAAAGGCCACACTTAAATACTTGGCGTTCGCCAGACAAACTTTGCATAAAAACCTTCACGCTTATAATTCTGGCCGGAAGTAGAATATAAGAAGTGATAGTAAAGATTTAAAATAAAATAAACGTTAGTAAAACTTAAGATCCTTACAAAGGTTACTATTTGTGAACTTCCTTGGGACACAAAGGGAAAGGGAATTTTTGATGCATTTACTGCACTTCGAATGGCTTAGTGAAAAAAAATGAAGCCCTTAGTGAAGAAATTTACGAGGAGACATGAAATTTAAAAACTTTGTACTTTCATCATGAAATACAGGTGGTGACAGGTGAGAGCAGGTCCGGACAGCCGGACGGCTTACATAGACTAGTCGTGTATCGTCCGGATCCCGCAACTATCTGAAGCTACACTCCGAAAACAATACAAGGGCAAAGTACTTGGCCATACAAGGGCAAAATATGCGAAATTAAACATTTTCCTGGCTACATCGCATGTTAATAAAAATCAATGCAGTTAAACGACTCCCCAGACTGAAATCCTACAAAGCTGGAAGATTACCCGTACAGCGATACCGTTGCTAGCACTTTGGACACAAACAAATGAATTGTTGGAAGACTCTAAGTTGCCTCAAGTGTGTATAATAACATTTAACCTGTATATTGGAATTAGAAAAGAAGGACAAGGCTACCTTCAAAAATAACATCCCGTGAATTTTCACGGATATGTGAAATTACCGGAGATGGTAAAAGCACCAAGACCTCCTCCTAAGATCAGACGTTCCAGAAAGCCTAAACAGAAATTAACTAGAAAAAAATTCACAAGAAAAGATGAATTTCCTAACTTTGCGGTTCTTTCCTTCGAAGACTCTAAGACGCGGTAACCAACCGTTCACAGGCGGAAAATATCTCTGGACTGGGGTGCTCGCTCTTTCTGTTATGAACTGCTGGATATTATTGATGAATGTTGTAAAGTCACAGAAGGTTGCGAAAAACAGGTCGTCTATTATTGGCTATAAGGACAGTTTGTTTAGTTACGAAACTGAAAACTCCATGTAAATTCAGTTTTGCCCAAAACAGGTGAATTTAGCCAAGCTCTTTTCTACTCTATAATGTGCTTTTGTCACTGTCTATTAGCTTCGTAGATATTCCCTCTTCGTACGAGGCGTAAGCCTCAATTTTCTTGTTTTAACAATACTTTCCACATTAGAACTTTCAAATTTGGTTACGTACATGTGATTTTTCTTACTGGTTTTAATCTTAGGTTCTTGCAATATAGCATTAACTAGCCTATATAAAAGTATCAAATCCCGACCAGTGCATCAACACATGCAGTTGCTATTATTCTGCGATTGTGCGAAAACATGTTTTTGCGCAGTATGAGATATTATAAACACCACATGAAAACTCGCTTGTTTTCCTTCTTTGTTTTATTCTTTTTTACCTACTTTTAGTAATTTTATCATGCGGAAAAACAAGTGGTGAAAAATTATGCGAATAATTAAATTTCTGAAAGATGCGGTTAGAGCATTCAACAAACAAACAAAAATAAGCAACAGCCCCCCCCTAAAATACGCATACGTGTTTTCTTTAATTTTTGTTTGTAGTTAAAACGGTGTTTTAACATTTCTAAGCCAATTTTTATACAGAATGGCGCATGCTATATCTACTAATCTAATCGATAATACTGCTAGAATGCACATACACATGTGTAGAATGCCTACATCCGACAAGAGTTCGGAGCCAAGCAATTAGTGTACAGTACACTATTGTTCGGTACAGTTATATATTGTAGCGGAAACCTTCAACTAAAAGTTGCGTTCCAGAGGTTCAACGGCGAAGCGAAGATCACCAGCGTTAATTAGTGGACACAGTTTCGGGTCAAACAAAAGGATAGCAATAGTAAGAACAGATATGGCTGCATTCCGACAGATATTCCCAGATCGTTTCTTTTTTGCTTTATCGATTTGTCCATTCTGCTTCTCAGATGCACAATTTTGTATCTTCTGGTGTTATCTGAAAGACATTCTTTGCATATGGATTACGGGCGATTGATGAACTGAAAATTGACATCAGCCATGAAGTACATGCTATTCCACAGGAAATGTTAAAACATGCCATTGAAACTTTTTTTTTTTTTTTGCATCGCCTGGAACAGTGCATCCAAGCAGATGAAGGACATTTAGCTCACAGCAAATTCAAAGTTTATTCATATTTATATTGTCCGTATTGTGTACTTTTATGTGTATATTATTATTTCGCAACCACATAAAGTTGCTAAAAGTACTCAATGTTTTTTATTGTTATTTTAAGCTGGTAGAAGAAGCATGCTCCGAATTCAGGTATTTTTACAGTGGACTTCAAAATCTGTACTTTTTATGTTCTTTGATGAGAATGATTGAACTTTTTTCCGAGTTTAAAAAACTTCTAAGCAGACTTTCAGCCTTATCTGTATTCGGAGATTATACTTTATGTTAGAGACGTATTTGATTTCTTTGTCTGTACTTCCTTAGGTTTCGATGGCTTACCTGGACCTAGCGGCGATGATGGTCTACCCGGAGTAGGTCTGCCAGGACCTCCTGGACCTCCAGGAGAAAGAGGACCTGAAGGACGACCTGGCATTTCAGGATTACCAGGACCCAAAGGATCTCCAGGATTACCAGGATTATCTGGTTTGAAAGGAAACAGAGTAAGGACTTTAGTGTGCTTTGATTAGTTTCTTTTATGCCTGCGCTCTACGTACCTATTAATGCAACGTCTTTGGAGTCTTGTTTCTTGGTTTATTTTGAGTTTATATCAGCGTAACAAAGTCACAGATGTGACCTACTTTTCAATCTCTTTCATCGTAGTCTGAAAGGAAACAGTTTTCGGTTACTCATATTCTCACCGCGTTGACCTGTCATGACAAGAGGTGCATTGATGCATAGATTTGTTCCGAATGACTGAATGCATTTGTAGACCAGCTTTACAGTCAGTGGTATAAAGTGTTATATGAGCTTTGATGTAATATACAAGAAACAACACGCAAGCGCCGATATTTTGTTCTGTTAACCCAGTTAAAAAGGTTTCGGTTTAGGAACTATTCCGAATTGAATTGTATATGTTCGATAGATAGTGGTGAACGTTGCCAACTATTTACTAACCATTTCCCCAAACTACAGTATTCAAGATGGCGTCAGGCACTTATCACCTAGTGATGAAATGTTTGGTTACATAAGAGTCATGGTTTGTAGAAATTTATCATCAGTTCTGGTATATTTAAAAAACCAGCCTGCAGCTCATTCATCAATATTTGTTCAGTAAGCATTTTTCAGGAAAGCTGCGAATTCATGAAACATTCCCTCTCCAATGAAAATCGGTCAAACAGTGTCATTGCAAGGAGTTTCATTCACAGAATCAAACAAGAGAAATGTGTAGTGATCAGTGATTTACTGTACATTAATACTGTTTGAATACTATTTCAATGTACTATACGAGTAAGTTCGGAAAACCATTTACAAGAAAAGTGCAAATTTTTCCATTAAACATGTCATTCTGAAACATGACAACGCGACATCCGTCCTCGAAACTGTGGCAGTTATTGATCATGTTTCACTGAAAAGTACTGGCACGAATAGACTCTGAATTGATTTTGAAAGATGTTCACCTTTTTTGGTCCTCACAAGGAGCATTCTAGCGGAAAAAATAAACTTTCGGACTGATAGCAAAGTAATTCAGGATTCTCAACTGACTCAAGATAGAATTTCATGCTGCCAGTAGTGTAGAAGCTTATAAAGTAATGGAGGAAAGATATTCTTGTGGGAAAGAACTACTTAAAGGAACAGAACAAGTAATATCATTGTATTGGTTACAGTTGTCTGTAAAATAATCATTCCATATATCAATTATTTATTGAAAAATCTACAGGTATTTATAAAACAGTGTTAATACAAAATACATGTATGTTATTCCAAACATTTTTAGATTGTACCCTTAGTCTGTCATAAATATCAACTATAACTCCGAGAGGAAATTCCCGAGGTATAAAAGACCTAGATATGTTTTGAGTAGTTCTAATCAATTGTAAAAGCATAGTTATACTAAATACACTGAAGTGACAAAAGTCATGGGATAGTAATACGCAAATATACAGATGGCAGTAGTATCGCGTAGAAAATGTATAAATGCGAAGTGCTTTGGCAGGGCTTTCATTTGTGTTCAAGTTATTCATGTGAAGAAGCTTTGACGTGATTATGGCCGCACGACGAGAATTAACAGACTTTGAACGCGGAATGGTAGTTGGAGCTAGACGCATGGGTCATTCCATTTCGGATATCGTTAGGGAATTCAACATTCCGACATCACAGTGTCAAGAGTGTGCCGAGAGTATCTAATTTCAGGCATAAACATCCCACCATGGACAGCGCAGTGGCCGACCACCTGCACTTAACGACCGAGACCAGCGACGTCTGCGTTAGAGTTGTCAATGTTCACAGACAAGCAACACTGCGTCAAATAACCGCAGAAATCAATGTGAGACGTACGAGGGACGTGTCCGATAGGACAGTGCGGCGAAATTTGTCTTCCTTGGGCTATGCTAGCAGAAGACCGACTCGAGTGCCTTTACTGACAGCACGACATCGCCTGCAGCGACTCTCGTGGGCTCGTGAGCATATCGGTTGGTCCCTAAACGAATGTAAAACCGTGGCTTAATCAGATGAGTCACGATTTCAGTTGGTAAGAGCTGATGGTAGGGTTCGAGTGTGGCGCAGACCCCACGAAGCCATGGACCCAAGTTGTCAACAAGTCACTGTTCAAGCTGGTGGTGGTTCCATAATGGTATGGGCTGTTTTTACATGGCATGGACTCGGTCCTCTGGTACAACTGAACCGATCATTGACTGGAAATGGATACCTTCAGCTACTTGGAGATCACTTACAGCCATTCATGGACTTCACGTACTCAAACAACGATGGGATTTTTATGGATGACAATGTGCCATGTCACCGGGCCACAATTGTTCGCGATTGGTTAGAAGAACATTCTGGACAATTCCAGCGAATGATCTGGCCACCTAGATCGCCTGACATGAATCCCATAGAACTTTTATGGGACATCATCGAGAGGTCAGTTCGTGCCCAAAACCCTGCACCGTCAACACTTTCACAATTATGGACGTCTATAGAGGCAGCATGGCTCAATATTCCTGCAGGGGACTTCCAGCGACTTGTTGAGTCCATGCCACGTCTAGTTGCTGCACTTCCCCGCGCAAAAGGAGGACCGACAAAATATTAGGAGGTATCCCATGACTTTTGCCATTTCAGTGTATATGAAAACTGTTTAAACTTTCTTCCTTATTTATTGAGGATTACCATTGATTGTGATGCTGAAATAAAGTAGGAAATTTAAATTTTTACTATAAAATGACTGGAAATGTGCTATGTCTTTTACACTGCAATCTTCATTAATTCCTTCACGAATAATAAAACCAAGCTTTAGCCCGAAAGTAATATTTTTGTAATAAAATTTTTTATGATAAATATGAGTTTAGATTTTGAATCCTCAATTTTTTTCTGTAATAGGATCACTTGATATTGCTTTCATATATATAATATATATAAAGTAAGAAATTTAGAACTAATGTTTCACAAAGATCAGAAATTTATATATATAGTTTTTCGTCAAAATTTTCAAACAGGTATTATATTTTAATCTCTTGCAGTACTTATCTTTTTGTTCTTTCACTATGAAACACAATTCTCCCAAGCATATGTTGTAGAGAAAGGATAAGATTTTTCAAGAAATTAAATGTTAGTTTCCTTTAGAAATGAAAAATATTTAAAAATATATGTTTGCTTGAGAATTGCTTACGCTCTCTGAAAGTTGTTCGCATACCTCTGGGAGTCCGCGTATCAGAGTTTGAGAACCATTGACTTAAAGGATATAGTGTAATTTTTAAAACTTAAATATATATATATGGAACTTCAAACCGTAGAAATATTAAATGTCATCTTATTAACAAAGAGCAATAACTGTTGCTATTGAAAATCAATTTTATCTCACATGTTGACACCTTGTTAACTAAATTTCGTAGCATTCAAACTTTCACGAATAATTCCTAGTTCGTGTCATTTTTTCCACTGAATGTCTTTTCTGAATGATTTTACTTTAAAGTATAGGATGTAATAAATTTCTGTATTTTTGACTAAATAGGGTTTGGATGGCTTACCTGGCCCTCGAGGTCCACCTGGCTTCGACGGAGCACCTGGTCTACCAGGCGCTAAAGGAGATAGTGGACTCCCAGGATTTCTGGGTCAGAAAGGTAATCTTGGTATACCTGGACTACCAGGATTTCCGGGACCTAAAGGCGATAGAGGACTACCTGGACTCACTGGACCACCGGGAAAAGATGGACTACCTGGAGATAAAGGAAACCTTGGTTTCCCGGGAGCACCTGGTTAGTTGCAACTTTCTAAATTTAATCGAAACTTAATAAAATAAAATAAATTAATTTAATACATGTGATCCTTAGAGCTCACAACTCTGTGCACTAGTTTTGATACACTGAGGAGGAAGACGATAAAAAACTGTATAACTTGCTTTCAAAATAACACGCTTTTTAGGAAATGTGGTCATTTTTTGGTTTATTTAATTATGGCAAAACTCACGAGACTATCTGCCTAAAAGGAGAGATGCCTTTATGGAGGATTTTCTAATAGAAACTGGCTTGTATCCACGTTACACACAGAAAAACCGCGAAACAGCCCATGCAGCCAGCTCACTCGCCTGGAATCGAACCCAATCGGAGGAGCTACTAGTGTTCAGTGACTTTACCGCTCAGCTACTGGTAGGCTCCATTTGTGTTATTTCAAATAAGTAAATTCAAACGCCGTATTATAGGAATGACTTTGAAACATTATTTTTCAACTAAAAGCAGTGAAGAAATATCAGCTTTTGAGCCGAAGATCTTCGAACATACCACGTTGGCTGAATATGCTATGCATTGGAGAATCAATTTGCGCAGACTGTTTGTAATAAAGTTTCGAAGAGCCTACAAAGGAAAAGGGCAAGAAGAAAACACTTTAGTACGTATATACAAAAGAACAAAAATTAGATATGTCATGCTAATTTTTCTTGAGGATTCTTATTTTAACCGTTCCTATTGTGGAACACGCGTTTTACGATGAGTAATGGAATCGATTTCTCTGCTAAGCAGTAGATTCACGGTGTTATTAGTTTTTCCCGAAGTTAAAATGCAGCTGAAATGCACTGCACATTGAGGAGCATCTAAGAAAGAAACTGAGTTGCACTGTAGTGTTATGTATAATCAGTACCAGAAGTTTCTCGAAAAATTAAGGGATTTCAGATATGACTGAGACAAGCTCAGAGGAACATCTCTGATGACTGATGGTTTCAGTCAAATTAAGTGATGGACTATTTCATCTGCGCAGAAAAATAATATTAACCCTCTGACCTTATGTGCTTGACGTTGAAATTTTAAAATTCCATAAATAAGAGGTATATTTGTTACTATAATGACTCCAAAATGACCTTCTCATTTAGTATCTTGATTCCTTTTCTTCCAATGCACATCCAAACCATGTGTAACGAATGGGAAAGCTATCCTTTGATATGGAATTTCATGTCCATAAACTTTGGAGGGTTTACATAATTTCAAATATTTTTCTTTTTTCTCATTTTTTTTCCATTTTTTTTTTTTCAAATTTTAAAAAAATTATGAAAAAGAAAATTAATAAGAAAATTTAAATAATCCGCTCATATGGACAAAATCCGTGATTTCTGAAGATTCTACGAAAAGCCTAGAATTACGACTACTGTACCAAATAGATATTTTGAATTAAATTAATCCCCATAACAATATGATACATCCTGCGTGAATGTGGTATAATTATATTATAGAAGATACTATATTAGCCTTAAATTGTGAATAAATCTCCCCATCCACGAAGAATCGAAGTTTTTATGAAGCTAACAAATTCAATGGAATTTTTAAATCATACAGTAAAGAGGCTTAAAAATAATGTACTCCTATCTACTGCATTTCACTTATCAATTTCTAATTATTCATTGTCACGAAGGAAATTTACCAAATTGTGACAAACAGCAATCCGCTCTAAATCATAGCTTGAAAATAAGCATCAAATGTATTTATATCTCATATTCTTGTAAACAGAATTTCTTCACCATCTGAACTGGGCAAACATTGCGTCAGGAAAACGAAGAGAGCAGCAAAGGAAAATGACAGAATGTTAGCAAATTAACAAATTATTATGCTATTCTGAATTATAAATAAAGGTGTAATTATTGCTGGCATTTGAATAATTTAATAATCAGCAGCAATATTTTGCAAATGTAATTTTTGGAAAAGATTGTAAAATTATTTATGTGTATGTCTGCCTCTGAATTTACACGCTATAATCTGATAGCCTGCGATAAATTTTAATTGGCAATGTTTGCTTCATACAATCAAAATACGATTATCTTAGTTTCCAAGACTTTAATAACTCTTCATTTCGAAAATCTGAGCAGCCAGATAGCTCACTGAAAGATAAAGAGAGTGGAACACAAGACAAATAATTAATGAAACCAAGTAACAAATTAACAAAATCACAACTTAGTCTAAAAAAAAAGGTTTTTCAGACTTTCCATTAAACGAAACAAAAGAAACAATAAATTTTAAAACCTATTATGAAAAACAACCAAATCTGACAGTAGTGGATGCTACGCCAGTTTCATTTTTTCTTTCTTCCACCCCCCCTTTAAAAAAAAACCTGATAGTAATTTTCTTCTTCAGGTGCGAGAGCATTACCAGGCGACAAAGGAGAACCTGGTCTACCAGGACAACCTGGCGTTCCTGGTGAAAAAGGAGAACGAGGATTCGATGGATCTCCTGGATTTCCAGGTATGAAAACTTTTGTAGTACATTGAACTATGAAAACATTTACAATAGTATAATCAAGATACATAATTTAGTAATTTTCTTTGGTATCATAATGTGTTACCAAACTTAAGATAGACCGGCAATGAATTATGGCTAACTGACAACTGAAACTTGATAAGGATGTAAAAGATCGTTTATTTAAAACTAAATAAGAACAAAAGGCACACTTGGTGCTTAAAAGTCAGCCAACCACTTCTGGCAAGATAAGATAACTTAAAGTAAACTGAGTCAAATGTAAAGTTTAATTTAAATAAGCTAGTAGCCAAAGGCGACACAGATCAATTAACACGAAGTTGGCTCAAAGCGTAGCTGACGTAGAGATTCAGTTATCGTCATTTATGATGCAAGGCCGAAGATTGCAAATTTTATCTGTTCTAGCAACCTAGTAACTTGGCTTCGACAGGCAGAACATTATCTGGGAAAATGGAAAGGAGAGGTGACAATAAAAGTCTCAAACATAAAATAATTGATTAATTTGTAAAAATTCTGTACTGTGTCCTTTTAAGTTACAGTTGGATGTGAAGAATCTTAAGAACTGTTAAGCGCATAATCGCTTGAGTTCGTGTGACAGGAAACAACAAGATAGAAGGGTGAAATAACCCTTTGTTATTCCAATCAGATGTAACAGAACTCCGTCTTGGAGTTGTGCAATAAAGCCGACACTCGGGCTTGAACTTAAGAGACTAAGAACTAAACTAAACTAATCTTAACTAAAGAGATATAGCCGAAGCTATCAAACTTCTAATGGAGATGGTGCCTTAACGCTAATTGACTGCGAAGCTATCAAGGGCCTAAAGTACGGCCGAGCGTAATAATAGAGTAGCCTTAAGAGAGAGTAGCCTAAAAAGGCGGACATGTACTAACCAAAATCTCTGGTTCTCTTTGACTAAAACAGTAGAACTTCGCGGTTAAATACCGCTCTTCCTTAATTTACATTCAGACGTGATTCTAAAACTACGTTCTGGGCGGAAGTGGTAAGTTGAAATTAAGAAGCGATAGGAAAGGAAGTTTAACTCAAATTTTAACTGTTAATAAAATTAACATAATCCTTACAAATTAATATAAAAGAACTTTACAAGGTAATGAAACAAAGGTTATTTCTTCAAAGACAAGACAGATGTTGGGTTTTAACTCTAAATATAGGCACGCGTTTAAGAAACATTGAATGTCATAAAAGTTGCACAATGATGTAGCTATAGTATGCATTGAAATAATGTCTTAAAAGTTGCACAATAACATGGTTATAAACGAAGAAAAGGTTTTTTTAGATACCAGAAGAGCCTGTTATAATATTTAAATTGAAAATATCTAATAATTTTCTATAACTTGATGCATTCGTATCAATTTCGTCGCATCTCACTTCTTTCTGTGATTTGTATATGAATTTTTTGGGACACCTTTATCACACAGCACTACGCATATCTCAAGATAAGTAATTAATTTACTGTATACAGAATAATTTTGGGAAATATTGTAGTAAAATATTAGGCATAGGAAAAATAATTACTTTCGCAGAAATAAATTACTCCATCTTAAAGACATATAAAAATAAAGTTAAAAGAAATACGAAGAGCCTTTTTCTTTACACCAGCGTTTCTTAAATTGTGGGTCGCGACCCCCAAGGGGGTCGTGGGACCTGCAGCAGGGGGTCGCCAAAAATTTTAGTAGTTTTGATATTTTTTTAACTTATTATAATAATTTTACAATTTACCAAATATTTTTACACAATATATCTGAAAATAGATAAAGATAAGACAATACAGACAAAGAAAAAAAAAATATTTCGACGTATTCTTTTTAATAATATAAATGTTCATTTTCTTTGCTTTGCACGTCCGCTGTCATTTCGTCTGTTACTTATTTAGCATTTTCACATTGTTCTATGTCTTAAAATTAAAGTTAATAACCTAAAACTGCAATAGTATATTACAGTACAAGTGAAAACATTGACAGTTTCACTCACGCGTGTGTCGGATTTGCGCAATACTTACGGGGACCCACAAAATTCGCGATTGAAAAATTTTTAAGAAACCCTGTTTACGCTATCTGGTAATGTATCTTGAAAATCCACTGATAATTAAACGTAATGGATAGTATAATCAGATTATTATTTGAAATCTTTTCTGGATTATACAAGTTTTATCCTTGTAAAAGTTTTTGCGGATTAAATGAATGTGAATGAATTTTGGAGTAAAATTGCGTTGCATTTTTGCTTGTAAGTTTCAAGCACTTTTACATATGCTCTGTAATACGTAATAATTTACGTCTGCTAACGTAATAATTTAATCTTTCTATTAATATGCTTAAAAAAGAGAGAGAGACATTTGTTTTCGGTAAAGTTGTTTCACGGAGCTATATGATTTATTTAAATCGATGATATGAATCTAAGATATATTTTTGTTAAACTGTAGTAAAATTAAATAAAAAACTTAGGGACAGTGTATTTGTACGAAACTAACTTTTTTAAATGTAATCTCTGGCTCCACAAAGACAGCTAGATGACTTATCCTCCTCTTCCAATCTTAATCTTTCTGTAAATTAATACCAATAGAAGAAGTTTAATATAAACCTTTTTGTTAGTCCGTCGGCCTAACAGTACATAACATCTGGGAAAGCAGAAATAATCTCCTGAACTTGCAGGAATAGCAAACGCAAAATTATAACGAAACTACCATAAACAAAAGACTCACTTGGGCATTTTAATTAGCTTTAATTAACAAAACACGATTAAGATAAAACATTACATTTAAGGGCATTATAATTACACATTTAAATTACAAAGTAAATCTCGGGGAAAACCATGCTTAGTCCGTGATTCCAGTACACCGACTGAAGGCTATAGTTTTTTTAAGCGAGTGCTTTTTCCGGCGGCCGCTAGGTGGCGCTCATTGAGCCGTGGGGTTACAAAATTAATTAAATAAAGCATTAAATTAATTAAGTAAATTTAAATAAAGCATTAAAATGAGAGCTTCTGTAAGGTTTCGGCTCAGGCTCTCAACTTCAGCGAGAAATTACGGCTGGCAAGATTAAAGCCGTTTTAAGTAATTTAGAAGCTGGAAGAAAACAGTAGCGAGACGCTCAACGGTTGCTGTCGAAAATTTACTCTTAAACTCAAGAACATTGTATTTAAATACCAAAGGGTGGCCACAGTTTGACTCACGAGCCACGTGCAGCTCTCGCGGACAAGTAGTGCAGCTTATATGCGAATGAAATACATGTATGAAATATAGTAAACTAACTTAATGTGCACATTTCCTTTTGCAAAATTATCAGACATTTCTCTCCGTTTGAAATCTGTTTCGTTAGTTTTAAATTGATATAAATATGGATTTGCGGCTTTTAGAAAATCTCGCTGCGGCTCTCTAGCTTTCCATCCTTCCAATATACGGCTCTTGCTGACGTGAAATTTGGCCACCTCTCTTATATACATTAACTAATTTGCATCGTAGCGGAAGCCGACGAAAGTAGAAGTGACAGAAAAACAAAAATAATAAGTTAACTGGTTAATAAACTTAAAACTCTACATATTTCTGTCTGTTGTGCATATTCTTGTTACTGTCAGATGTTCAAAATATAAAGGTAATAAAAATAAACTAAATAATTAATTTAAAATTTCAAATACGTGTATTGGACTATTTCAGTGCAAATATTTATTCTGTATTTACTAGAAACTTTGAAATAATTAATGATATGTCTTTGTTTCTAAGTATTCCTTAATACCTCAGCAGTTTTAATATCAAAGGTTTCCTGTTATGAATACCCTCACGTTGAAAGGATATCAGTTACATTGGATAACACTGAGTTATGAGTAATATGATACACTTTTTAGTTGTGATATTATTTTTGTAGGGGATCCCAATAATAACTAAACATTCTTTAAGGGTATGGAGAATAAGAAGCAAAGAATAAGAAGATAATATTTTCTTTTCAGGATTGAAGGGGGATCGAGGTTTTCCAGGATTAGATGGATTACCAGGAACACCAGGACTTCAAGGTTTCCCAGGTATCTAAGGATTTTTATTACGTTTTAAAATTCCTATGCATCAGCTGTTTCATTTTTAAGTTTATTCAGAGCAATCCGTTGTTTCATTCGTTAAGTATATTCAGAGCAGCAACACTAATTCTTTGATTGCAACCTTTTATTGAGCAGGAGAACCTGGTTTACCGGGACCGAGAGGTAGAGCAGGACCACCAGGAATTGGACAGAAAGGTGATCGAGGATTACCAGGACCACCAGGAGTTGCTGGACTCCCTGGCTTTCCGGGTGATAAAGGTTAATATTTTAAGCTATCAGCCTCTGTAATGTTGCAATCTTACTTCATTGCTAACAGATAACTCATTCTGTAAATATTTTTGTATGGATTAGGAGAACCAGGTTTGCCAGGATCCCCAGGCGAGCCAGGTTTTGCTGGAAAACCAGGATTACCGGGTAGACCTGGTGAAAAAGGAGATATTGGCTTCCCGGGTCTTCCAGGACCTAGAGGTTTGGATGGAGTACCAGGAAGGAAAGGAGAACGAGGGCTGCCAGGATTCCCAGGACTAAAAGGCGATCAAGGATATCCAGGAATTCCAGGTCCACCTGGTCCCATTGGAGACGCAGGGCCTCCAGGTGAATATTCTGAAATAGTTGCTAAGTTAGCAGCTGGAATTAAGTGAAAAGTGTATTATTTCTATATACTTCTTGATATTTTAAAGAATTTTTTTATTTATTTATTTAACTCTGAGCCAATCCTTGCATTTATTTCCAAGAATTTTCTTTAGTGAAATGTAAGTAAGGATTGTACAGAAATAAAATGGTCATAAATTACCAAAAATTATTGCAGAAAAATTCTAAAGCAGTCGAACTCGGTTATAACTAGCGTGAAAGGACCGCGATATTTGCTAGTTATAACCGAGGGCTTTTAAAAAACGGGTTCGCGAAAAATGTATTTTAAAAGTTCGTACATACTTAGTGTTATTATATATATAGCTTATTTATTTTTTATTCCTATTCAATACAAAAAACGTTAGTTAATTTGCTTTGAACTGCCTTATTGTTTCTTTCTTGTATTTTTGTTCTTCGGAGAAGACTCGTGGTCCGAAAAACTTTGTCATTTGCCCCCCACCCCCGGATTTGAAAGTTTTCTGCGCGCTCAAAAGCCATTGAATATATTGGGGGCGGTTCAGCCTGAAATTCTTCACAGTCGTCGTTATCATCGTAGCTTTTATTATTTTTTCATCTGCTTTAGCTTTAATTTTAGTTACAATATCCTCGGGAGCAGGTATATCGGAATTGATAACATTGGCATCAACAGTTACATAATTTTCAAATTCTCTACCTCATTTCCAAATTTTCTACTTCTTTTTCCTCAATGATTTGCCCCTCTTGAGAAATGTCCAACCCAGCCTTATGGAAGCAGTTGGTAATGCCATGTTATGTAGCGTTTTCCCACGCATCATTCATTTAAACATATCGCTTCGAGTACGTTTACGTACGAGCATTTGAGGTTGTTTCTATTTTTTCTCTTCTATAGAGAAGCATCAAAATCAAGTGCTTACGAAAGTTGAATTAAAAACTATTGATGATTCCTTATCCATAGCCTGTTTAACACTTTTAGAATTCGCTAGTAAAAAATTCAATTCCAATGATCCCCCAAGATGAAAAGGCCGCCCATGTGTTCGCAGGATTTGTGAATAACTTCGGTTGACTTCAGAATGTTAAGAAAATTTTTCCAAGAAGGACTTAGCTGAACTGGAGAAGCCAATAGATATTTTATGAATCACAAAAATATTGCTCGCTATAACCGGGGTTTTTCTCGTTAAAAGCGAGTTTCGCTCACGTAGACTTAACATTGTACCAACAAAGTATTTTTAATTTCCTCTGTATATCCGGGTTCTCATTAAATCAGGGCTCGTTATAAGCGAGTTGTACTGTATATGTGTGCATTAAAATATTAGTTTTGTTTTTTCAGCATGTAGATTATGGCACTGCACGATTTTATGCTGACTTGAGGTGACATTTTTAGTGAGTTATAACTCCGTTGTTTTCAAATTTTGTACATTCTATTAAAATGTGGTTGAATTGTTTAAGACATAGGTGCGAAATTGCATAATAAGTTACATTAAACCTGAAACCAAAACTATATTATAACACAACTAATAGTTGCCATTAAGTGAGTATGGCTGCTTGCATTTATTTCGCTTGATTCACCGCTGTAAAACTTCTGTATATCAGCAACGATACTTATAAATTTTTTAATGCAATTTGTGTTTAAAAGCATTTACAGAACTTTACTATTTTTTTATTGTTTTGCAATATTTTATGCAAATATCAAATAATATGTGTTAATCACTTCCAATTTTGATAATATTTTCTACAAACGCCACATAAACTTATTCAACAAAAATACCTACAATAACTCAGTGATTAACTAAAACTGTTAACTTTTAATTAATATTTCGTAACCATAACTTTTGAAAAACACTTACAAGCGTTTCAGAAATTGGGTCCGAAAATGCAAGAACATTAATATTTTTAACATATTCTTTTGGTATAATATAGCTGAAATTTTTTTAATGTAAGAAGTTGTTGAGAGGCTAGTACTGAATGTGAAAACGTAGGAAAATAAAATTTTATTCACGATTTTCCTACAGAATTCGTAGACTTTTTTACCGTGTAGAGTATAGATTTATAGTATTTATTACAGCTTAGATAAAGAATTATTTATTATGTCTTCCAGTCAAATTCAGATTTAATGAATAGCTAGGAGCGGAAAATAATATTTGTCAAATCGAAATTGTTCGCTCAGTTGGGATAAACTAAAATGTACTACAAGTATCCAATGAAAGTCAAAAGCTATGCATTATAATCTCATTATGGAGAGACAAGTAAAGTAAATCGAGGCAAATATTTTTACGTACAAAGTATAATGGCAGAATTTTTTTAAATATATTTTATGAAATGAATCATTGTTTCGAAAGGAAGGTCTGATATTAAAGTTAGCATTTGTTTAAAACATTCCTCTCAAAAAATCTTTATCAGTTTTATGAAAAGCACTAAACACTCCATTTCTCATTTCACTATTTTGTTTTCTTGAAGATTAGAAAGAGTCGGAATCATTACATTTGCATGCTGGCACACAACTACAAGGAGTTTTTACCAGTATCCTAAAATCAGGGGCGTAGCTAGAGGGGGGCATCTGTCCCCGGGCGCAGAATCCAAGGGGCGCCAAACTGATGTTACGGCATTTTAGAATTAAATGTTTTCCATCCCTGGCAAGCAGTAGGGGGCGCGAAATCTTCATCTGTCCCCGGGCGCTGAAAACCCTAGCTACGATTCTGCCTAAAATTAACGCCAAAGGCCTTTGGCGTGTTTTAAAAGAAAATATGGTGCTCATTACACCAACCGCACGCAGGCGAGAAACAGTTCTTGACCGAAGTCAGTAGTTAGATGGTCTAGAGCAGGTGAGTCAAGTGTCTAATCACAAACATGAGTAAAGAATTGAAAAGTTCATGCATAAGCAGTAATTTGGTAAAATGTCCAGTCGGGCATCAAACCCGTGATCTTGAATATCGAAGTTAGTCTTCACTTTCTGCAAATTTCTTATGTCAAAATAAGTCATGACAACGTTGAACCCAGCTAATAACTTCGGCTGTGGATTTCGCTGCGCGTATCTGCTCAATATGGGAAATAACTTGTTTGTGAGAAAGTGATTAATTTTCTCGTCTTTTAACTATGAAAAGGCTTCGTTGATTTCATCTGAGGAGAGGCTTGATCGTTTTCCTTAATTCGTCGCTATAGAACGTTTTGGGGCGACTTGGTTTCAGCAGTTATGGTAAATTGAGGAAATTCGTCTATTGCAGGGAGAGGAACTGCAGATTTTGGAGGAATAGGCTTCTTTTCGAATTTCTTCTTGTACGCATTACATCCACGATAGCTACTAACAAGGGCTTCATTGCAGAACATGTATATAGGTTTTACTTCATGTCTTAGAGGGCGCTGGTTGCTTCTGGGATGTTTGCCGCTCTTACAGCAACTCTCTGGGTGTACCCACTGGGGCTTATCTGAGCTAACGAACACGACGTAGCCGACCCATCTCCAAAACCAGTTTTTCCCCATAGGGCAGCAAGTTGAAAAATCTTAACTGCAGGCATATCAGAGTTAGTCGACACATGGAACTGATTCCGTTAGCGCAGATAAACTCCAGTGAGAACGGCCCTTAAGTGCTGTGAGTGTCCCCACCCTTGACATCTATAACACTGAGTTGGTCATTTTTTCGGCGTAAATTTTTCTATGATGATTTTCACACTAAACATGTTGTTTAGGTTATGAATTGCGTATCCAGATTAGTTTTTCTTCAATTCCAGTAAGAATACAGGAAGTTTTTCGTAACTGTTTATCTTGCTTCTCATGAATTGTTTTACTTTCTGAATAGGAAACTTTTGTCTTTCGAGATTCTGGAATATTGCTTTTTCTATTACCGTATCGGGTAAATTCTTCAAAACCACTCTAAGGCAACGGTTCTGAACCTTTTGACTAACGCGTACCGTCTAAACAAAAATTGAACACCTTTAATACCACCACTACAAAGAACTACTACTACCACCACTCTTGAACAAAGCTCAGATCGCTTAAATTTACGAGTGTTAGAGAAAAAACTCGATTAGGATGTTGGGGTATTAATTTTTGAATTTAATAGTTAAAAATACTTTGCGTCTTTGCGTACCACCTATTTTTCTCTTGCGTACCACCGGTTGAGAACCTTTGCTCTAAGGGGTTTATCGTTGACCAGGTGGAACGTAGGGAATGGGATACTTCTATCCTGTAGTAGTTTAGCTGCATTCCTAAAGTCCACGATACTTCGAGAGCTCTCATGGTGGTGATCAGATCAGATCAGTCCATAATACTTCTAACATAGACGAAAATAGATTTCGACTTCATTTGCGCTTCAACTTCGTCGGCACAGATTTGTCGTAGAAGTTCATCAATTATTAACCAATCAATGGCGTGCTGCTGGAATACAATCGGTGAGAGCGTTTTCCTACTGGATGAAACCTCCTTCGACTGACTGCTCGTTCGCGTTTCCTAAGGGTTGAAATCTGTTTTCTTGAGCGATCTCCATAGGTTCAGAATTTATTAGAATTTTCATTGTATTCTTGGGGGTAATTCTGTTTCCTTCATCTTTTTCATTTCCCTTAGATTTCGCTCTGATTTTCTTTTTGGCTTGTTCTTCTTCTGTGAGTTCACTGCTACTTGCTTCGGCAGTGCTGTTAGAATTAGTCTGTTTAAATGTGGAAAGAACTTTGTCCACTCTTTAATAATCTTTTCGGGTAATCAAGTCTTTCCTTTTCAATACGATCCAGATCCTGGGCTGCGACTTGTCTGATCTCGGTACCAGAAACTGCTTCCATTTCTTTTTCCTTCCTTTAACGATGGCGTCCGTGGGAGTTTATCTCTTCGCGTAGGATTGGGTCGTGACATCACAGATCGAGTAGAACTTTCCGAATCTGTGTATTCACACTGAATTCATCATCAGGTTTATCAAGAGATGACCTATAGAAGGATATTTTTGTGTAAACCAAAGGAAACACACCAGCAATTTCCAAAAACAATCAGAACAGTAGAGCGCT